CCATTTACAATGCTTTTTGGAGCATTCAAATATACTTTTTGTTCTCTGTTTCAATAGAAAAAGAGTTCTTACTGAATTTCGATCCAGGAGCTATAAGCAGCTCAAAGGCGTTATTCCTCGTATAAGCGGTAGTTACGTTCGGTTTTTGACGAGGTAAGATAGATCCTCCTTAAATTAAATTAAAACAACATTAGAAGACGTCTTTGAACCTCTTTCCGACCTCTCACAAATACAGGAATAAGAGATGTGGTTGGTGCGTTGAGCGTCTGATATCCATGATTGAATGGTTGGCCGTAATTGCTATCGTATAGCGAATACCAGTCATCTTCGGGTAGATAGGCATGGACAGTCGAAACGCCCTAAAAATCTTACTAAAGAAGAAGATATGTAGAACCAGAGAATATTCTAGCAGTGAGCGCGGGAGAAAATTTCGCAGAAGGGGCTTGGGCGGAACCAGACCACGCTTTTTTTGGTTGGAGTTTTTTTAAAAAAATTTTTCAAATTTTAATTAATTTATGAAAATATTTGGCAATAATTTTAACTAATAACCTGGTATATTCTGTATATTTCACTCTTACCCACCTCTATTTTGAAATGATTACATACCTGATATAGTACCGGTGCAACCAGCATAGAACTGCCCCAGAGGAATTGTTGGCCCAGATTGTAGGTTTCTTGATCTTTAGGATACTCATAAAATAGTGGACGCACGACTGTACCACCATTCATGGATGCAACGAAATGCAAGCTGAAAAAAAAACAAAATTTTGGCATTTCCACTTTCCTCTTAGAAATTTCTGAACAAGACGGTTTAATTGAGCTCAGGAAAAGGTGTTCTTAATTTACGTAGTATTAAGGCTATCTCATGCAGCATGTCATTCTACAAACTAACTCCATATAAGTGTTGGTCTCACCTGAACAAGTACGGTAAATAGCTGTATCGAAATAGATTAGCTTTAATAGCTGCAGCAGTTACGGATGGCCACTGTGCTGGATCCTGTGGTGATGCACCCTCTGTGTTGTGATTTCTGAAATTTCATCGTGAAAACTTTTTCGACAATTATAGAAGCAGGGAAATATGCAGTTGAAAAAGGAGATTTCAAACCTCATGAATGGATGGAAAGCGCCCATTTGTTGCCATCTCAAACATAACTCTTCATTTGTCTCACCATTAAAACCACAAATATCAGAGCCAATATAGCTAAATTAATTTTAGTTAAAGTCCCCATAAAATATGCTTTTGCCTTCATACTTACGGGATTCCAAACATATTGAATTCCTGAGCCCCGGTAACTGCCGATTGGAGATCTGCCCATGTGGCAGTATTGTCACCTAACCAATGTCCGGCAAATCGCCCACTTGAGG